AGTTCACGCTGTTTGGTGGGTAGTTCATGCTGTTTGGTGGGTAGTTCACGCTGTTTGGTGGGTAGTTCACGCTGTTTGGTGGGTAGTTCACGCTGTTTGGTGGGTAGTTCACGCTGTTTGGTGGGTAGTTCACGCTGTTTGGTGGGTAGTTCACGCTGTTTGGTGGGTAGTTCATGCTGTTTGGTGGGTAGTTCACGCTGTTTGGTGGGTAGTTCACGCTGTTTGGTGGGTAGTTCACGCTGTTTGGTGGGTAGTTCACGCTGTTTGGTGGGTAGTTCACGCTGTTTGGTGGGTAGTTCACGCTGTTTGGTGGGTAGTTCACGCTGTTTGGTGGGTAGTTCATGCGCTGTTTGGTGGGTAGTTCACGCTGTTTGGTGGGTAGTTCACGCTGTTTGGTGGGTAGTTCACGCTGTTTGGTGGGTAGTTCACGCTGTTTGGTGGGTAGTTCACGCTGTTTGGTGGGTAGTTCACGCTGTTTGGTGGGTAGTTCACGCTGTTTGGTGGGTAGTTCTGCTTTGGTGGGTAGTTCACGCTGTTTGGTGGGTAGTTCACGCTGTTTGGTGGGTAGGCTGTTTGGTGGGTAGTTCACGCTGTTTGGTGGGTAGTTCACGCTGTTTGGTGGGTAGTTCACGCTGTTTGGTGGGTAGTTCACGCTGTTTGGTGGGTAGTTCACGCTGTTTGGTGGGTAGTTCACGCTGTTTGGTGGGTAGTTCACGCTGTTTTGGTGGGTAGTTCAACGCTGTTTGGTGGGTAGTTCACGCTGTTTGGTGGGTAGTTCACGCTGTTTGGTGGGTAGTTCACGCTGTTTGGTGGGTAGTTCACGCTGTTTGGTGGGTAGTTCACGCTGTTTGGTGGGTAGTTCACGCTGTTTGGTGGGTAGTTCACGCTGTTTGGTGGGGGTTCACGCTGTTTGGTGGGTAGTTCACGCTGTTTGGTGGGTAGTTCACGCTGTTTGGTGGGGTAGTTCACGCTGTTTGGTGGGTAGTTAACGCTGTTTGGTGGGTGGTTCACGCTGTTGGTTGGTGGGTAGTTAACGCTGTTTGGTGGGTAGTTCACGCTGTTTGGTGGGTAGTTCATGCTGTTTGGTGGGTAGTTAACGCTGTTTGGTGGGTAGTTCACGCTGTTTGGTGGGTAGTTCACGCTGTTTGGTGGGTAGTTCACGCTGTTTGGTGGGTAGTTCACGCTGTTTGGTGGGTAGTTCACGCTGTTTGGTGGGTAGTTCATGCTGTTTGGTGGGTAGTTCACGCTGTTTGGTGGGTAGTTAACGCTGTTTGGTGGGTAGTTCACGCTGTTTGGTGGGTAGTTCACGCTGTTTGGTGGGTAGTTCACGCTGTTTGGTGGGTAGTTCACGCTGTTTGGTGGGTGGTTCACGCTGTTTGGTGGGTAGTTCACGCTGTTTGGTGGGTAGTTCACGCTGTTTAAGGTAGTTTGTGTGGGAGGTATAGAGGGAGAGGCAGAGGGAAGTGGTAGTGGAGAACAAGGTGGTGATCTGGTTGTGTGAGGGGGAGGCTCTGAGGCTCTTGTGTGGTGGTGGTGGTGGTGGTGCTGCTGCTGCTGCTGCTGTTGCTGCTGCTGCTGTTGCTGCTGCTGCTGCTGTTGTCACAGCTGTACTACGCGCCATTTGGGTGCCAACCTTTGTTGGGAGACTTTCTCTTCGTTGTGTGAGAGAGTGAGTCCACCTAGCAGCGACTGGCTGTCCTGTGTGTCTTAAAGACGGTGGGTGAGTTGTTATAGTGGGTGTTGTGTGGGGCACCACCACCACCACCACCACACCACCACCACACCACCACCACCATCACCACCCCACCCACCACCATCACACCACACCACCACCACACCACCACCACACCACCACCACACCACCACCACACCACCACCACACCACCAACCACACCACCACCACACCACCACCACACCACCACCACACCACCACCACACCACCACCACCCCACACTACACTACCACCTCACCACCATAACACCACATTAAAGCCAGATTCGACTAAAAATACTCTGAACGTCAGAATACTTCAATTATAACGCAACATGTACCACAAGGCTGGTAGGCATACAGTGCTAGACGTCACCCCCCCCCCCCCCCAGGTCGTCACAGATAGGTATGCACGAGGCCAAACAGTTCGTGGGCTGATCTGGACGCAGCGAGCTCCATTGACCTAATGACCTCTGGGTAATCAACCTCTGGTTATCTCCCGGGGTCATCACACTACTAGCATCACATCCGGGCGCTCCTCAGCTTCCCAGACATCACCTGTTCTGACCTCTTCCAGTTTCCAGAGTCTTTGGGTTTTTAATTTTGTGTTTCTCTTACGTTGAGAGAACCACAGGAGATAGTGGTGCTCAGGAAGCAGTAGGTGTCTCTCGCAAAATTGTAATTCCTTTTGTCAATAAAGATGTTTTTAATAATAATAATCCTATGGCTGTTTGTTGTTGGTGTCTTGGTGGTCGTAAGTGGTCGTCGACCAGGTATCCATACACACCGCCCTCGACACACTACGGGCTCACCATAGCCCGTGCTGCTTGGAACTTTTTGTTCCAAGTAGCGAATCTTTTAAACGACAGCTACCTAGACACAGCTAACAGAGAGCACATGTTAGAGCTGCTAGCCTGTTCTTGGAGCCCCAGTAAAGAAAGTTGACTTGGCTCCAAGAATACCTAAGTAACAGAGCCGCTTGTCTCACCTCGTAGTGGCTCAACTTACTGAACCTCTTCTGTGCTGTAGTCTGTAAATCACACCTACAAACGTGTTAAATGTTTTGTTGTTTAAAGAATTTATACATGAGCTAATGGAGATGACATTTGTATCAACCCGTCCTCTTAAAAATAACGTCACTTTTGGCCCGTATGCGCGGCGCTTTGGCCAAGTTTGGACGTAATTTGAAATGAAATCGACTCACAAAAATGACGTACTGTTCCGTTTTCTGTTTGAGTCGTCCGGCCGACTCTGTAAGGTTAGAATAGGTGACTTTCAATTCTCGTTTTTCATAACGTTTTGAAACTTTATGAGAATTTCCTGCCCACCTAACCTATCAGAGGACCCTTAACTTACTGTTGTTGAAAAAAAAATTCCCAAATTTATTTTCATTTTTTTTTTCATTTTCAAATTACGTCCAAATTCGGCCATACGGGCAAACGGCTAAAATCGACGTTATTTTTAAGAGGACAGGTTGCCCAAACTGGACTGAGAGCTCCTAACTGAACCTTTTGTTTATTGAGGCGTTGACGGTCGTTTCTGTATATCCTTAACAACATCCAGAGCCATTTATCCCACAATAGAACTAATAACCCTCTTGCCTCCAAAGTCAACAATCTAAACTTTGAAACCAGGGGCGAGTGTAATTGATTTAAATCAATTACGTGGGTAAATACTGGTTCGGTAACGGGGGTTGTTGGTTTGTGGAAGCAATTACCGCGTAACATAATAGAAGTAGGATCCCCTCGATTGTTTCAAGCGTAGGTTGGACATGTATGGGAATAGGGTTGAGTGGATATAAATAAGAGCTGACTCGTATAGGCCAATAGGCCTTCTGCAGTTACCTTCATTCTTTTGTTCTTATGTTCTTAAATCATAGGCTCAAAGTTCTTGAAAGCACAACAAAGCCACTTACTGCTAGTGATATTGGAATAGTAAATATGTTAGACTAATTTAAAATGTTATTAGTACATTAGTTAACCCTTGTCGTTCTCTATTATCACTTTGAACAATCCAACATTAATCACCAGGTAGCTAATTATCAGGACAAACAGCTAAGCGACTATATAGCACTTAGAAGGACTGGTCCCCAACCACTTGGAGACTCGGGGATCGAACGCAGACCTGCATGACGCTAGGGTCTCCTTCCACCGACTGGTCGGGGGTCTTCCTCTAATCAACACTGAAGCCATGAAGATGATTTCTGGTGCACCAAATGAACACGAATCATTAAGACGAGAGAAGAATTTTTTTAGTTATTAGGAACCCAGCACGACATCCACGCGAAATATCACCACTCACGTGGCTTGTATCTCAACTACTTCCTCTCTGCCCCTTGTTACCTTGTCATTACCAAGCACAGTGCCTCTTGCTACCCAGTCATTAGCAAGCACAGTGCCTCCTGCACCCTGCCCCTTGCTACCCAGTCATTACCAAGCACAGTGCCTCCTGCACCCTGCCCCTTGCTACCCAGTCATTACCAAGCACAGTGCCTCCTGCACCCTGCCCCTTGCTACCCTGTCATTACCAAGCACAGTGCCTCCTACACCCTGCCCCTTGCTACCCTGTCATTACCAAGCACAGTGCCTCCTGCACCCTGCCCCTTGCTACCCTGTCATTACCAAGCAGAGTGCCTCCTGCACCCTGCCCCTTGCTACCCAGTCATTACCAAGCAGAGTGCCTCCTGCACCCTGCCCCTTGCTACCCAGTCATTACCAAGCACAGTGCCTCCTGCACCCTGCCCCTTGCTACCCAGTCATTACCAAGCACAGTGCCTCCTGCACCCTGCCCCTTGCTACCCAGTCATTACCAAGCACAGTGCCTCCTGCACCCTGCCCCTTGCTACCAGTCATTACCAAGCACAGTGCCTCCTGCACCCTGCCCCTTGCTACCCAGTCATTACCAAGCACAGTGCCTCCTGCACCCTGCCCCTTGCTACCCAGTCATTACCAAGCACAGTGCCTCCTACACCCTGCCCCTTGCTACCCAGTCATTACCAAGCACAGTGCCTTACTCAGTCATTACCAAGCACAGTGCCTCCTACACCCTGCCCCTTGTTACCCTGTCATTACCAAGCACAGTGCCTCTTGCTACCCAGTCATTACCAAGCACAGTGCCTCCTACACCCTGCCCCTTGCTACCCAGTCATTACCAAGCACAGTGCCTCCTACACTTGCCAGCATCAATAATCACGGTGTTGAGGCGGACCATATAAGCGGGTCCACAATATTGATAAGTATTACCCGAGATTGTATAAGTTTGTGAACTTTTATTGCACGAGTATTTGTCTGCTAATTACATTTTTCTTGCTCCTGACACAGGTAAGGTGTGAAGGTGACACTAGAGCCTTGCTCCTGACACAGGTAAGGTGTGAAGGTGACACTGGAGCCTCGCTCCTGACACAGGTAAGGTGTGAAGGTGACACTGGAGCCTCGCTCCTGACGCAGGTAAGGTGTGAAGGTGACACTAGAGCTTCGCTCCTGACGCAGGTAAGGTGTGAAGGTGACACTAGAGCCTCGCTCCTGACGCAGGTAAGGTGTGAAGGTGACACTAGAGCCTCGCTCCTGACACAGGTAAGGTGTGAAGGTGACACTAGAGCCTCGCTCCTGACGCAGGTAAGGTGTGAAGGTGACACTAGAGCCTCGCTCCTGACGCAGGTAAGGTGTGAAGGTGACACTAGAGCCTCGCTCCTGACGCAGGTAAGGTGTGAAGGTGACACTAGAGCCTCGCTCCTGACGCAGGTAAGGTGTGAAGGTGACACTAGAGCCTCGCTCCTGACGCAGGTAAGGTGTGAAGGTGACACTAGAGCCTCGCTCCTGACGCAGGTAAGGTGTGAAGGTGACACTAGAGCCTCGCTCCTGACGCAGGTAAGGTGTGAAGGTGACACACTAGAGCCTCGCTCCTGACGCAGGTAAGGTGTGAAGGTGACACTGGAGCCTCGCTCCTGACGCAGGTAAGGTGTGAAGTTGACACTGGAGCCTCGCTCCTGACGCAGGTAAGGTGTGAAGGTGACACTAGAGCCTCGCTCCTGACACAGGTAAGGTGTGAAGGTGACACTGGAGCCTCGCTCCTGACGCAGGTAAGGTGTGAAGGTGACACTAGAGCCTCGCTCCTGACGCAGGTAAGGTGTGAAGTTGACACTGGAGCCTCGCTCCTGACGCAGGTAAGGTGTGAAGGTGACACTAGAGCCTCGCTCCTGACGCAGGTAAGGTGTGAAGGTGACACTAGAGCCTCGCTCCTGAGGAAAGATGTACATGTTCGTAAGTGCTTGCGTAACTGCTTCGTGAATCTGGCTCCAGTGCCGAGATCCATCAATCATTTACGCAACGAAAGCTCAACTTTTCCTCAAACATTGCAACTTTCTTTACATTTATTAAGCAGGTTTTAACTTGTAAAATGCTACGAGCTGGTTTATAACAATTATAACCTTGGATTGTGAAGTTTCGAAACGTATGTAAAGTGTTTAATAACTGTAAACACAAGAGAATATGATTAAGGAAAGATGTAGATGTTTCGTTCATGAATGCGTAAATGGTCAAGAATGAGGGGGATATTTCCTCCTCCAAGGCAGTGAGGTCAGATCTCACAATTATCCTCTCCTTCTTAGCCTTAAGGCGCTCATTCTTCTCAATGATTATTGTTGTTGTTATAGATTCAGCTACTCGGAACAAGTTCCAAGTAGCACGGGCTATGGTGAGCCCGTAACTTACCTGGCACAGGAGCGGGGCAAGTAGCACGGGCTATGGTGAGCCCGCAACTTACCTGGCACAGGAGCGGGGCAAGTAGCATGGGCTATGGTGAGCCCGCAACTTACCTGGCACAGGAGCGAGGCAAGTAGCACGGGCTATGGTGAGCCCGCAACTTACCTGGCACAGGAGCGGGGCAAGTAGCATGGGCTATGGTGAGCCCGTAACTTACCTGGCACAGGAGCGGGGCAAGTAGCACGGGCTATGGTGAGCCCGTAACTTACCTGGCACAGGAGCGGGGCAAGTAGCACGGGCTATGGTGAACCCGTAACTTACCTGGCACAGGAGCGGGGCAAGTAGCACGGGCTATGGTGAGCCCGTAGTGGACTTACCTGGCACAGGAGCGGGGCAAGTAGCACGGGCTATGGTGAGCCCGTGTTAGTTCTCAATGACTCGCTCGAGTCTTATATTTGTAGTTTACATTGATATGTTATGGGGAAAATACCGAGGTATTACGATGGGATCGAACTGGCGCCCCAGGCATATATGCACTACCTACTGGGCCATGATGGGGTTAAGAAGGTTCTTAAAGGATTTATCAAGCATTGACTTGATAAATTTACTAATTTATTTAATTTGTTTAATATTAAACTGACGCATTTACTCGTCAATTTACGAAACCTGTACATCTTTCAACCGTCATGGCAGCTTTGCTTATTTATTAAACAGATATAATGAGTTAAGAAGCACTACGAGATCTTTATTAGAATAACAATCTCGGATTGTAAAGTTTCCAAGCTCGTAAACTGTTTAATAGATGATCAATGCTTGATCAATCCTGATCAATCCTGATCAATCCTGATCAATCCTGATCTTGTAATATAACACTTGGAGTATGGAAGAACCTCCCCCCCCCCCACTCCAATCCGGTACCACAATCCAAGTTTTCCCAAGATACAGACATTAGCAAATCTCTTAAATTGATAAGATTGTAGCTAAGGTTCCTGCGGCTTTAAATGCAACATTGATTATTTCCGGAACATTGACTTGGGATAATCAGCTGTTAGACTAATGTCAGACTTGGTTAGCGTCTCCTGCTCTTACTCCTTCAAATACTCTCATCAAACTAGCGTGGCCGTAATCACTCATGTCATGGTTAAGCGTTAACGATAGGCGGCGTAAATATAACGCTTACTACATCAGCTTAAAAAGATGCGTTTACGCAAATTCTTGTTACGCAAAAAATTACGCAATATCCCAGTCTCCGTGGTGTAGTGGTAAGACACTCGCCTGGCGTTCCGCGAGCGCTATGTCATGGGTTCGTATCCTGGCCGGGGAGGATTTACTGGGCGCAATTCCTTAGCTGTTGCCTCTGTTTAACGCAACAGTAAAATGTGTACTTGGTTGTAACAACGATTCTTCGCGGCAGGGGATCGTATTCCAGGGACCTGCCCGAAACGCTACGCGTACTAGTGGCTGTACAAGAATGTAATAACTCTTGTATATATCTCAAAAAAAAAAAAAATGGAACACATTGTGCAACGTTCTCAATCTCTGACGCAAAATTTTATCGCGTGCCAAGCGGGAATTTTGGGGGAGGAACATCATATTATTATTATTTCGTGCCCTTTTAAGTATTGGGAAGACCTTTCAGGTCATCAAAGATCACACTAGAGCGGTCAAATCAAAGAAAATTCTAAGGGTTCTTCTAAGAACTATTCTAAGGGAATATTCTAAGGGTAATTATTGGGAATGTGTAAGAGCGAGTGAGAGGTGATCTTTATGGACGGAACAAATCCACAAGGGCCGTGACGAGGATTCGAACCTGCGTCTGGGAGCATCCCAGACACTGCCTTAATCGACTGAGCCTTGTGGATTTGTTCATTTGATGCATCACGTTAGTGTGATCTCTGTGAGTTATGGACGGAATTCTACACTACAATACAATACAATACAATACACTAATTTTGTCTTAAAGGGTTTATTCTTAGTTTATATCTAGTCACAGTTGATTTACGGTGACTAGGTGTTCATTTACGGTGAACTTAATGTTCATTTTTGGTGATTAGATGTTCACTTACAATGACTAGATGTTCAGTTGAGCAGGATTGTGGGAGGTGGGGAGAGGCAGAGGGGCGGGGAAGTGGCTAGATGGGTGGGGGGTGGGTAGGTGGGTGGGGGGTGGATAGATGGGTGGGGGTGGATAAGTGGGTGCGGGTGGATAGGTGGGGTGGGTGGAGTGCCACATCCGGAGTGGTGTTTGAGAACCCTATCCCATTATCAGTCTTATTTTATAAGCAGATGCTGATGGTAGTTTGGGCACTGTAGGTGGTGGTGTTCCTCACTGTAGAAGTTGGTGGTCTTCACTGTAGATTGGGGGGTGTCCCTTACTATAAGTGGTGGTGCTCCTCTTCACTGTAGGTGGAGGTGTTGTTCACTGTATGTGGTGGTGCTCCTCTTCACTGTAGGTGGAGGTGTTGTTCACTGTATGTGGTGGTGCTCCTCTTCACTGTAGGTGGAGGTGTTATTCACTGTATGTGGTGGTGGTGGTGCTCCTCTTCACTGTAGGTAGAGGTGTTGTTCACTGTATGTGGTGGTGGTGGTGCTCCTCTTCACTGTAGGTGGAGGTGTTGTTCACTGTATGTGGTGGTGGTGGTGCTCCTCTTCACTGTAGGTGGAGGTGTTGTTCACTGTATGTGGTGGTGCTCCTCTTCACTGTAGGTGGAGGTGTTGTTCACTGTATGTGGTGGAGGTGTTGTTCACTGTATGTGGTGGTGCTCCTCTTCACTGTAGGTGGAGGTGTTGTTCACTGTATGTGGTGGTGCTCCTCTTCACTGTAGGTGGAGGTGTTGTTCACTGTATGTGGTGGTGGTGGTGGTGCTACTCTTCACTGTAGGTGAAAACTTGAGTGAAAAGCCTCCTCAAGTTCAGCATCAACCCCCCCCCCCCCCCCCCCCCCGTAACCACTCCCCCAGTTACAGGTTCAGGCGGACACTGCCGGCACCGTGGCGCCAGTCTGCTGCCTCTTGGGTAGTGTGTTAGCCTTCGCTATCCACTTCAAGTTCCCTGGGAGAGCAGCTCAAGTGCCGGCGGCTTCTGCTGGACCTTTCACCCCAGGCACGCCGACTGTCTGCGCCCTGGCTACCTCTTAGTTGTTTTGACATCTTGTGAAACACTTACCTTTATCTGGAGGAGCTACTGGATGGTCCAGAGGTCAGGGTGGGGGACTCATCCGGCCAGGTAAGGCAGCTCAAGGCAAGTCGTGTCTTCGCAGATGTCTAAGAATTCTCCATTGGAAATTTTATTTCCTTCCCGGGGGGTGAAGGGTGAGGGAGGGACGAGGGGGTGTTTGAAGGATTGGATTGCGTACTTTGAACGTTCAGAGGGTAGTTGACTGCAGCTTGTGAAGCCCCAGTTCTAGCCTATGGATAGGAGACAGACTAAAAGTTACATTTCCTAAGGATGAGCCCTCTATTCATGATGGAAAATATCCTTGCATTCTCCTTTCGTTTTCCTGTTTCAAAGTTTATTTGAAATTCGTGTAGTCTTAACTTTCAGGTTTGATATGATGTTGCGTTTGTGTATCTCAATATGTCTTGAAATATGAGATGTCTTAACATTAAGATGTTCATAACATTAAACACATCGATACGATTCTGACAGAGGACTGAATTGGGACTCCATCTGCCCCTAGATAAGTATTCCCCCATGCAGACGAGGAGTCACAATAACGTGCCTTGCTTTTTCTTCCTCTAAGATTTTCTTCTCCTCACCTCTCTTCCCTATTTATTGTCCTTCGCCTCCTTCCCTCATCTCCACAGATCTCCAGTATCAGCTCTTGATACTGGTAATGGCTCAAAAGGGCCACCACTTACGGGCTATTCATGCCCGTGCCACCTTTTGGGTAGCTTAATCTTCATCGATCAATCAATCTTCCCTCATCACAATCGACTTGACAATGGTCCAGGACGGACCGAAACGTCATCGTCCCTTCACTTTCTAATGTGTGGCCTGGTCAACATAAATATTCCCCAGGTTGTGTATGCCTGCTGGTATCCATCTTGGGGTCAGAGGTCAGTTTCCCTTCTTCAAGAGGGTGAGAAAAACTACCATTAAATTACAAAGGTAATATAGTCTCCTCCTGATCGAGCTGGAGGTCAGAGTGGTCGTTAGACCTCGGCGCCCTCCTCTCGTTATTTTAATTGTCGACTTATATGGGTGATTGAGGACTGCATCCCAAGGGGAGACCTCCCAGCCTCCTTGGGAAAAGATTTTTAACTTGTGCACATTGAATTCTGGCGAACCGACACGCCCCCATGTACGGGGAGGAGTCTTCACAGGAGGTGACCTCTTTGTCTGCTCTCCTGATGTTGTACGGAACCAAGATTCGTCGAGTATTTACGTGTTCGCTTACGAGACCTGTGCATCTTTGGTCAGTATTGGCAGTTTAGTATTTATTAAACTGTTTACGCCCTTGGAAACGCTGCGACGTTTGTTTTCGAGCCAAGGTTATTGTTGAAGGCAACCTCGTAGATCATAATCATTTTTAGCTAAAGTAAACAAAGCCGCCATGATTGATGAAAGATGTACAGGCTTCGTAAATCAACGCATAAATGTGTGAGTAATCCTTGGCCATGAGTTGACTTGGGAAGTGCTTGATGGAATCCATATTAGTAGCCACTTGCAAAGTACACTTTGTACGGAGTGAGTCACTGTATCAATAGTGCCTGTTACGGGCTATTCATGCCCGTGCCACCTTTTGGGTCGCTTAATCTTCATCAATCAATCGATGGTGCCTGGAATGAGCAGTGCCTGGTGACTGATGCCTGGTGCCAGAAAATTACCATTCCAGAGAATCTGAGTGAAACTAGCGCCATAAATGATGTGATTTCGTTCTAGTAACCATCTGACGACTTGGAGACCGAAACTAATGGATGTGCGGGCGTGCGGGCCGCCACCAACAATAGCCTCAATGACCAGACAACACTGATCACGGCAGCATCCCCAGGCATATACTCCCCCACGATCTGGCAACCTTATGATGCAACCCCCACAACAGTTGCCTGACTCCCGGGTACCTATTTACTGCTAGGTGCAGACAGGCATTAGGTGAATAGAAACTTGCTCAATCATTTACGTCCCACGTCGGAATCGAACCCGGAGGCCCTTGATTGTGAGTCGAGAACGAAGCCAACTGTACTACGAGACCCAGTTTTCAATAATGATTGAACAAGCTCGGTCGTAGACCCTCCCACAAGGGATTCTGAGTGTCGTAGTGTTGGAAAAAGCTTCGAGAATGTTACAATAAGGACTGCTTACTCTTAAATTATATTTTTAAGTCTAATACTTGAAGCGAAGTCTGGCTTGAGCCAGTCTGATTGGTACTGTGTGTAAGAGTAGCCGTCGGCCACAGTCTTATCGCTAGTCTTTATGTAGCGGGGAGCTTCATTAGGCGGCCATATTGCCTAAACGAATTGTTGTTTGTAATTGATTTTATGGTGCTCCTCGTGGGAGGTGGCGGCGCGCCCTCAGCCTGGCTGTCTGTTGGCGCGCCCTCAGCCTGGCTGTCTGTTGGCGCGCCCTCAGCCTGGCTGTCTGTTGGCGCGCCCTCAGCCTGGCTGTCTGTTGGCGCGCCCTCAGCCTGGCTGTCTGTTGGCGCGCCCTCAGCCTGGCTGTCTGTTGGCGCGCCCTCAGCCTGGCTGTCTGTTGGCGCGCCCTCAGCCTGGCTGTCTGTTGGCGCGCCCTCAGCCTGGCTGTCTGTTGGCGCGCCCTCAGCCTGGCTGTCTGTTGGCGCGCCCTCAGCCTGGCTGTCTGTTGGCGCGCCCTCAGCCTGGCTGTCTGTTGGCGCGCCCTCAGCCTGGCTGTCTGTTGGCGCGCCCTCAGCCTGGCTGTCTGTTGGCGCGCCCTCAGCCTGGCTGTCTGTTGGCGCGCCCTCAGCCTGGCTGTCTGTTGGCGCGCCCTCAGCCTGGCTGTCTGTTGGCGCGCCCTCAGCCTGGCTGTCTGTTGGCGCGCCCTCAGCCTGGCTGTCTGTTGGCGCGCCCTCAGCCTGGCTGTCTGTTGGCGCGCCCTCAGCCTGGCTGTCTGTTGGCGCGCCCTCAGCCTGGCTGTCTGTTGGCGCGCCCTCAGCCTGGCTGTCTGTTGGCGCGCCCTCAGCCTGGCTGTCTGTTGGCGCGCCCTCAGCCTGGCTGTCTGTTTGGCGCGCTCTCAACCTGGCTGTCTGTTTGGCGCGCTCTCTGGCTGTCTGTTTGGCGCGCTCTCAACCTGTCTGTTTGGCGCGCTCTCAGCCTGTCTGTTTGGCGCGCTCTCAGTCTGTCTGTTTGGCGCGCTCTCAGTCTGTCTGTTGGCGCGCTCTCAGGCTGTTTGGCGCGCTCTTAGCCTGTCTGTTTGGCGCGCTCTCAGCCTGTCTGTTTGGCGCGCTCTCAGCCTGTCTGTTGGCGCGCTCTCAGGCTGTTTGGCGCGCTCTCAGGCTGTCTGTTTGGCGCGCTCTCAGGCTGTCTGTTTGGCGCGCTCTCAGCCTGTCTGTTTGGCGCGCTCTCAACCTGTCTGTTTGGCACGCTCTCAGCCTGTCTGTTTGGCGCGCTCTCAGGCTGTCAGTTTGGCACGCTCTCTGGCTGCCTGTTTGGCGCGCTCTCAGCCTGTCTGTTTGGCACGCTCTCAGCCTGTCTGTTTGGCACGCTCTCAGCCTGTCTGGCACGCTCTCAGCCTGTCTGTTTGGCGCGCTCTCAGCCTGTCTGTTTGGCACGCTCTCAGCCTGTCTGGCACGCTCTCAGCCTATCTGTTTGGCGCGCTCTCAGCCTGTCTGTTTGGCGCGCTCTCAGCCTGTCTGTTTGGCGCGCTCTCAACCTGTCTGTTTGGCACGCTCTCAGCCTGTCTGTTTGGCACGCTCTCAGCCTGTCTGTTTGGCGCGCTCTCAGCCTGTCTGTTTGGCGCGCTCTCAACCTGTCTGTTTGGCACGCTCTCAGCCAGTCTGTTTGGCGCGCTCTCAGCCAGTCTGTTTGGCGCGCTCTCAACCTGTCTGTTTGGCACGCTCTCTGGCTGTCTGTTTGGCGCGCTCTCTGGCTGTCTGTTTGGCGCGCTCTCTGGCTGCCTGTTTGGCGCGCTCTCAGCCTGTCTGTTTGGCGCGCTCTCACCCTGTCTGTTTCGCGCGCTCTCAGCCTGTCTGTTTGGCGCGCTCTCAGCCTGTCTGTTTGGCGCGCTCTCAGGCTGTTTGGCGCGCTCTTAGCCTGTCTGTTTGGCGCGCTCTCAGCCTGTCTGTTTGGCGCGCTCTTAGCCTGTCTGTTGGCGCGCTTTCAGGCTGTTTGGCGCGCTCTTAGGCTGTCTGTTTGGCGCGCTCTCAGGCTGTCTGTTTGGCGCGCTCTCAGGCTGTCAGTTTGGCGCGCTCTCGGCCTGTCAGTTTGGCGCGCACTCGGGCTGTCAGTTTGGCTCTCTCTCAGCCTGTCTGGCGTGCTCTCAGGCTGTCAGTTTGGCGCGCTCTCGGGCTGTCAGTTTGGCGCGCTCTCAGCCTGTCTGTTTGGCGCGCTCTCAACCTGTCTGTTTGGCACGCTCTCAGCCTGTCTGTTTGGCGCGCTCTCAGGCTGTCAGTTTGGCGCGCTCTCAGCCTGTCTGTTTGGCACGCTCTCAACCTGTCTGTTTGGCGCGCTCTCGGGCTGTCAGTTTGGCGCGCTCTCAGCCTGTCTGTTTGGCGCGCTCTCAGGCTGTCAGTTTGGCGCGCTCTCGGGCTGTCAGTTTGGCGCGCTCTCAGCCTGTCTGTTTGGCGCGCTCTCTGGCTGTCTGTTTGGCGCGCTCTCTGGCTGTCTGTTTGGCGCTCTCTCAGCCTGTCTGTTTGGCGTGCTCTCTGGCTGCCTGTTTGGCGTGCTCTCTGGCTGTCTGTTTGGCGCGCTCTCTGGCTGTCTGTTTGGCGCGCTCTCAGGCTGTCAGTTTGGCGCGCGCCCTCAACCTGTCTGTTTGGCGCGCTCTCAACCTGTCTGTTTGGCGCGCTCTCAGGCAGTCAGTTTGGCGCGCTCTCAGCCTGTCTGTTTGGCGCGCTCTCAGCCTGTCTGTTTGGCGTGCTCTCTGGCTGTCTGTTTGGCGCGCTCTCTGGCTGTCTGTTTGGCGCTCTCTCAGCCTGTCTGTTTGGCGCGCTCTCAACCTGTCTGTTTGGCGTGCTCTCAGGCAGTCAGTTTGGTGCGCTCTCAGGCTGTCAGTTTGGCGCGCTCTCGGGCTGTCTGTTTGGCGCGCTCTCAACCTGTCTGTTAGGCGCGCTCTCAGGCTGTCAGTTTGGCGCGCTCTCGGGCTGTCTGTTTGGCGTGCTCTCTGGCTGTCAGTTTGGCGCGCTCTCAGCCTGTCTGTTTGGCGCGCTCTCAGGCTGTCAGTTTGGCGCGCTCTCAGCCTGTCTGGCGCGCTCTCGGGCTGTCAGTTTGGCGCGCTCTTAGCCTGTCTGTTTGGCGCGCTCTCAGCCTGTCTGTTTGGCGCGCTCTCAGGCTGTCAGTTTGGCGCGCTCTCAGCCTGTCTATTTGGCGTGCTCTCTGGCTGTCAGTTTGGCGCGCTCTCAGGCTGTCAGTTTGGCGCGCTCTCAGGCTGTCAGTTTGGCGCGCTCTCGGGCTGTCTGTTTGGCGTGCTCTCTGGCTGTCTGTTTGGCGTGCTCTCTGGCTGTCTGTTTGGCGCGCTCTCAGCCTGTCTGGCGTGCTCTCTGACTGTCAGTTTGGCACGCTCTCAGCCTGTCTGTTTGGCGCGCTCTCAGGCTGTCAGTTTGGCGCGCTCTCAGCCTGTCTGTTTGGCGCGCTCTCGGGCTGTCAGTTTGGCGCGCTCTCAGCCTGTCTGTTTGGCGCGCTCTCTGGCTGTCTGTTTGGCGCGCTCTCTGGCTGTCTGTTTGGCGCGCTCTCTGGCTGTCTGTTTGGCGCGCTCTCAGGCTGTCTGTTTGGCGCGCTCTCTGGCTGTCTGTTTCGCGCGCTCTCTGGCTGTCTGTTTGGCGCGCTCTCAGGCAGTCAGTTTGGCGCGCTCTCAGCCTGTCTGTTTGGCGTGCTCTCTGGCTGTCAGTTTGGCGCGCTCTCAGGCTGTCAGTTTGGCGCGCTCTCAGGCTGTCAGTTTGGCGCGCTCTCAGGCTGTCTGTTTGGCGCGCGCTCTCAGGCAGTCAGTTTGGCGTGCTCTCTGGCTGTCTGTTTGGCGTGCTCTCAGGCTGTCAGTTTGGCGCGCTCTCAGGCTGTCAGTTTGGCGCGCTCTCAGGCTGTCTGTTTGGCGCGCTCTCAGGCTGTCTGTTTGGCGTGCTCTCTGGCTGTCTGTTTGGCGCGCTCTCAGCCTGTCTGTTTGGCGTGCTCTCTGGCTGTCAGTTTGGCGCGCTCTCAGCCTGTCTGTTTGGCGCGCTCTCAGGCTGTCAGTTTGGCGCGCTCTCAGCCTGTCTGTTTGGCGCGCTCTCAGCCTGTCTGTTTGGCGTGCTCTCTGGCTGTCAGTTTGGCGCGCTCTCAGGCTGTCAGTTTGGCGCTTTTTCAGGCTGTCAGTTTTGCGCGCTCTCGGGCTGTCTGTTTGGCGTGCTCTCTGGCTGTCTGTTTGGCGTGCTCTCTGGCTGTCTGTTTGGCGTGCTCTCAGCCTGTCTGTTTGGCGCGCTCTCAGGCTGTCAGTTTGGCGCGCTCTCAGCCTGTCTGTTTGGCGCGCTCTCGGGCTGTCAGTTTGGCGCGCTCTCAGGCTGTCAGTTTGGCGCGCTCTCAGGCTGCCTGTTTGGCGCGCCCTCAGGCTGCCTGTTTGGCGCGCCCTCAGGCTGCCTGTTTGGCGCGCTCTCAGGCTGCCTGTTTGGCGCGCTCTCAGCCTGTCTGTTTGGCGCGCTCTCAGCCTGTCTGTTTGGCGCGCTCTCAGCCTGTCTGTTTGGCGCGCTCTCACCCTGTCTGTTTCGCGCGCTCTCAGCCTGTCTGTTTGGCGCGCTCTCAGCCTGTCTGTTGGCGCGCTCTCAGGCTGTTTGGCGCGCTCTTAGCCTGTCTGTTTGGCGCGCTCTCAGCCTGTCTGTTTGGCGCGCTCTTAGCCTGTCTGTTGGCGCGCTTTCAGGCTGTTTGGCGCGCTCTTAGGCTGTCTGTTTGGCGCGCTCTCAGGCTGTCTGTTTGGCGCGCTCTCAGGCTGTCAGTTTGGCGCGCTCTCGGCCTGTCAGTTTGGCGCGCTCTCGGGCTGTCAGTTTGGCACGCTCTCAGCCTGTCTGGCGTGCTCTCAGGCTGTCAGTTTGGCGCGCTCTCGGGCTGTCAGTTTGGCGCGCTCTCAGCCTGTCTGTTTGGCGCGCTCTCACCCTGTCTGTTTGGCACGCTCTCAGCCTGTCTGTTTGGCGCGCTCTCAGGCTGTCAGTTTGGCGCGCTCTCAGCCTGTCTGTTTGGCACGCTCTCAACCTGTCTGTTTGGCGCGCTCTCGGGCTGTCAGTTTGGCGCGCTCTCAGCCTGTCTGTTTGGCGCGCTCTCAGGCTGTCAGTTTGGCGCGCTCTCGGGCTGTCAGTTTGGCGCGCTCTCAGGCTGTCTGTTTGGCGCGCTCTCTGGCTGTCTGTTTGGCGCGCTCTCTGGCTGTCTGTTTGGCGCGCTCTCAGCCTGTCTGTTTGGCGTGCTCTCTGGCTGCCTGTTTGGCGTGCTCTCTGGCTGTCTGTTTGGCGCGCTCTCTGGCTGTCTGTTTGGCGCGCTCTCAGGCTGTCAGTTTGGCGCGCCCTCAACCTGTCTGTTTGGCGCGCTCTCAACCTGTCTGTTTGGCGCGCTCTCAGGCAGTCAGTTTGGCGCGCTCTCAGCCTGTCTGTTTGGCGCGCTCTCAGCCTGTCTGTTTGGCGTGCTCTCTGGCTGTCTGTTTGGCGCGCTCTCTGGCTGTCTGTTTGGCGCTCTCTCAGCCTGTCTGTTTGGCGCGCTCTCAACCTGTCTGTTTGGCGTGCTCTCAGGCAGTCAGTTTGGCGCGCTCTCTGGCTGTCTATTTGGCGCGCTCTCTGGCTGTCTGTTTGGCGCGCTCTCAGCCTGTCTGTTAGGCGCGCTCTCAGGCTGTCAGTTTGGCGCGCTCTCGGGCTGTCTGTTTGGCGTGCTCTCTGGCTGTCTGTTTGGCGCGCTCTCAGGCTGTCAGTTTGGCGCGCTCTCAGGCTGTCAGTTTGGCGCGCTCTCAGCCTGTCTGGCGCGCTCTCGGGCTGTCAGTTTGGCGCACTCTTAGCCTGTCTGTTTGGCGCGCTCTCAGCCTGTCTGTTTGGCGCGCTCTCAGGCTGTCAGTTTGGCGCGCTCTCAGCCTGTCTATTTGGCGTGCTCTCTGGCTGTCAGTTTGGCGCGCTCTCAGGCTGTCAGTTTGGCGCGCTCTCAGGCTGTCAGTTTGGCGCGCTCTCGGGCTGTCTGTTTGGCGTGCTCTCTGGCTGTCTGTTTGGCGAGCTCTCTGGCTGTCTGTTTGGCGCGCTCTCAGCCTGTCTGGCGTGCTCTCTGACTGTCAGTTTGGCACGCTCTCAGCCTGTCTGTTTGGCGCGCTCTCAGGCTGTCAGTTTGGCGCGCTCTCAGCCTGTCTGTTTGGCGCGCTCTCGGGCTGTCTGTTTGGCGCGCTCTCAGCCTGTCTGTTTGGCGCGCTCTCTGGCTGTCTGTTTGGCGCGCTCTCTGGCTGTCTGTTTGGCGCGCTCTCTGGCTGTCTGTTTGGCGCGCTCTCAGGCTGTCTGTTTGGCGCGCTCTCTGGCTGTCTGTTTGGCGCGCTCTCTGGCTGTCTGTTTGGCGCGCTCTCAGGCAGTCAGTTTGGCGCGCTCTCAACCTGTCTGTTTGGCGTGCTCTCAGGCAGTCAGTTTGGCGCGCTCTCTGGCTGTCTGTTTGGCGCGCTCTCAGGCTGTCAGTTTGGCGCGCTCTCAGGCTGTCTGTTTGGCGCGCTCTCAGGCTGTCTGTTTGGCGTGCTCTCTGGCTGTCTGTTTGGCGTGCTCTCAGGCTGTCAGTTTGGCGCGCTCTCAGGCTGTCAGTTTGGCGCGCTCTCGGGCTGTCTGTTTGGCGTGCTCTCTGGCTGTCTGTTTGGCGTGCTCTCTGGCTGTCTGTTTGGCGTGCTCTCAGCCTGTCTGTTTGGCGTGCTCTCTGGCTGTCAGTTTGGCGTGCTCTCAGCCTGTCTGTTTGGCGCGCTCTCAGGCTGTCAGTTTGGCGCGCTCTCAGCCTGTCTGTTTGGCGCGCTCTCAGCCTGTCTGTTTGGCGTGCTCTCTGGCTGTCAGTTTGGCGCGCTCTCAGGCTGTCAGTTTGGCGCTTTTTCAGGCTGTCAGTTTTGCGCGCTCTCGGGCTGTCTGTTTGGCGTGCTCTCCGGCTGTCTGTTTGGCGCGCTCTCTGGCTGTCTGTTTGGCGCGCTCTCAGGCTGTCTGTTTGGCGCGCTCTCAGGCTGTCAGTTTGGCGCGCTCTCAGCCTGTCTGTTTGGCGCGCTCTCTGGCTGTCAGTTTGGCGCGCTCTCAGGCTGTCAGTTTGGCGCGCTCTCAGGCTGTCTGTTTGGCGCGCTCTCAGGCTGCCTGTTTGGCGCGCTCTCAGGCTGCCTGTTTGGCGTGCTCTCAGGCTGTCTGTTTGGCGCGCTCTCAGGCTGTCTGTTTGGCGCGCTCTCAGGCTGTCTGTTTGGCGCGCTCTCAGGCTGTCTGTTTGGCGCGCTCTCAGCCTGCCTGTTTGGCGTGCTCTCTGGCTGTCTGTTTGGCGCGCTCTCAGGCTGTCTGTTTGGCGCGCTCTCTGGTTGCCTGTTTGGCGCGCTCTCAGGCTGTCTGTTTGGCGCGCTCTCAGGCTGTCTGGCATGCTCTCAGGCTGTCTGTTTGGCGCGCTCTCAGGCTGTCTGTTTGGCGCGCTCTCTGGCTGTCAGTTTGGCGCGCTCTCAGGCTGTCAGTTTGGCGCGCTCTCAGGCTGCCTGTTTGGCGCGCCCTCAGGCTGCCTGTTTGGCACGCCCTCAGGCTGCCTGTTTGGCGTGCTCTCAGGCTGTCTGTTTGGCGCGCTCTCAGGCTGTCTGTTTGGCGCGCTCTCAGGCTGTCTGTTTGGCGCGCTCTCAGGCTGTCTGTTTGGCGCGCTCTCAGGCTGTCTGTTTGGCGCGCTCTCTGGCTGTCTGTTTGGCGCGCTCTCAGGCTGTCTGTTTGGCGCGCTCTCTGGTTGCCTGTTTGGCGCGCTCTCAGGCTGTCTGTTTGGCGCGCTCTCAGGCTGTCTGGCATGCTCTCAGGCTGTCTGTTTGGCGCGCTCTCAGGCTGTCTGTTTGGCGCGCTCTCTGGCTGTCTGTTTGGCGCGCTCTCTGGCTGCCTGTTTGGCGCGCTCTCAGGCTGTCTGTTTGGCGCGCTCTCAGGCTGTCTGCTTGGCGCGCTCTCAGCCTGTCTGTTGTCGACACACTTCATCCCCTCCACTTGTGGGTTATCCAGGAAGTTTTTGATTCAGATGAGTGACTTAGTTTGAGGTGCAGTGAGTTATGAGTGAGTGGGTGGGTAAGTGAGTAATGAGTGAGTGGGTGGGTAAGTGAGTTATGAGTGAGTGGGTGGGTAAGTGAGTTATGAGTGAGTGGGTGGGTAAGTGAGTTATGAGTGAGTGGGTGGGTAAGTGAGTTATGAGTGGGTGGGTAAGTGGGTTATGAGGAACTCCCCGGGTACCGATTTACTCCTAGGTGAACAGGGGCATTAGGTGATAGGAAACGTGTCCACCCATTTCTGTCCCGCACGGGGATTCGAACCCCGGAATCCCTGATTGTGAGTCGATAAAGAAAGTAGAAGTTAAAATACCCACTTTTGTGCCAACAATTAAATCGCCTCCAACCCGGGTCTTATTAACCTGGGGTGATAGGGCTTGGCCACACCCTTTGGCCATGTTAGTCACTTTAATGGTGGATAGTGAATAGTTGTGTTTGACCACTACTGGGTGTCAGGATAGAGATAGTCATGACTAACCTACTGGCGCTATTTTCAGGGGTTAAGATTTGTGTCTGGATTAAGATGTATTCATTAAGCACGATCGAGGCTTTCCTCTCTTTCTTAAGCTCTTGCGTCACCTCACGCCACGGCTGCGTCATCTCACGCCACGGCTGCGTCACCTCCCGCCACGGCTGCGTCACCTCACGCCACGGCTGCGTCACCTCACGCCACGGCTGCGTCACCTCCCGCCACGGCTGCGTCACCTCACGCCACGGCTGCGTCACCTCCCGCCACGGCTGCGTCAGCTCACGCCACGGCTGCGTCACCTCACGCCACGGCTGCGTCACGGCTGCTCCCGCCACGGCTGCGTCACCTCACGCCACGGCTGCGTCACCTCCCGCCACGGCTGCGTCACCTCACGCCACGGCTGCGTCACCTCACGCCACGGCTGCGTCACCTCCCGCCACGGCTGCGTCACCTCCCGCCACGGCTGCGTCACCTCCCGCCACGGCTGCGTCACCTCACGCCACGGCTGCGTCACCTCACGCCACGGCTGCGTCACCTCCCGCCACGGCTGCGTCACCTCCCGCCACGGCTGCGTCACCTCACGCCACGGCTGCGTCACCTCCCGCCACGGCTGCGTCACCTCCCGCCACGGCTGCGTCACCTCCCGCCACGGCTGCGTCACCTCCCGCCACGGCTGCGTCACCTCACGCCACGGCTGCGTCACCTCCCGCCACGGCTGCGTCACCTCCCGCCACGGCTGCGTCACCTCACGCCACGGCTGCGTCACCTCCCGCCACGGCTGCGTCACCTCACGCCACGGCTGCGTCCCTCCCGCCACGGCTGCGTCACCTCCCGCCAGCTGCGTCACCTCCCGCCACGGCTGCGTCACCTCACGCCACGGCTGCGTCACCTCACGCCACGGCTGCGTCACCTCCCGCCACGGCTGCGTCACCTCACGCCACGGCTGCGTCACCTCACGCCACGGCTGCGTCACCTCCCGAGGCCTCGGAATTAACCGAGTCATTAAATCTTGTTAAATAGGAGCTTAAACTGAGCGGCCTCCATTTCCTCCCAGCGCCCGCCCACGCCCACACCCGCCCACACCCACACCCGCCCACACCCGCCCACTCCATCTTTGGCGGGGTCGTAAAAAATGTAATCACTTGTGATTATATCACACACGCTGAGGGTGTGTTGTGTACAGGTCTGATACGTAACTGTGGGAGGGGGGGGGGGGTTAAGGGAGGGTGTCTGAACCACCCTTACCCTCATCAAACATCAGAGGTCCGCGGTTGTTCAACGTCCTCCCAGCAAGCATAAGAAATATTGCCGGAACAACCGTGGACATTTTCAAGAGGAAACTAGATTTATTCCTCCAAGGAGTGCCGGGCCAACCAGGCTGTGGTGGGTATGTGGGCCTGCGGGCCGCTGCAAGCAACAGCCTGGTGGACCAAACTCTCACAAGTCAAGCCTGGCCTCGGGCCGGGCTTGGGGAGTAGAAGAACTCCCAGAACCCCATCAACCAGGTATCAACCAGGTACCCTGGCCCACGACCCTTCAACACCCCAACACCCCTCGATCTTCTCCCCCTGTTGAGGTTGTTGAGAAGGCTGGTGGGCCCCCTCCACCAGGTAGCCAACACCTGGGCCCCCTCCACCAGGTAGCCAACACCTGGGCCCCCTCCACCAGGTAACCAACACCTGGGCCCCCTCCACCAGGTAGCCAACACCTGGGCCCCCTCCACCAGGTAGCCAACACCTGGGCCCCCTCCACCAGGTAGCCAACACCTGGGCCCCCTCCACCAGGTAGCCAACACCTGGGCCCCCTCCACCAGGTAGGTAGCCAGCACTTGTACCTGATCATCAATCAACCGGGGGAACACCTGCGGCACACCTGTGGCTGCCTCACAGGTGTACAGTGGCGGACAAGCTTTTATACCAACGGTGAGGAACCGGAGACGGAGCACCCGTTCGACGCCCCTCCTTAATCTCTCCCCACGCTCCCTCATCCCTCACTCACTGCCTCCTTACCCATCTTAATTATACTCATTCTCCTGATGTATTAGTGAGAAGGGCTACGCTGAGACGGTATTGAGACGTTCCGTGGCTAAGTGTGTTTATTAAGTGCCAAGATTATATGTTGTAAAGATGTTGAACTGTACAGCGGAAGAGCAACCCAAGTTAGACGTCCTCCAGGGTGGGCCTGATGGCTGAGTGAACAGAGCTCGGGATTCATAGTCCTGAGGTTCCGGCTTCGATCTCCGGTGCAGGCGGAAACAAATGGGCGGAGTTTCTTTCACCCTGATGCCCCCTGTTCCACCTAGCAGTAAATAGGTACCGGGGAGTTAGACAGCTGCTGCGGACTGCTTCCTGGGGATGTGTGAGTGTGAAAAAAAGGTTGATTGACAGTTAAGAGGCGGGCCGAAAGAGTCAGAGCTCAATCCCCGCGAGCACAACTAGATGAATACACACACGCACACACACACCTCGTAGGGGGCCTCGTAGCCTGGTGGATAGCGCGCAGGACTCGTAATTCTGTGGCGTTGGTTCGATTCCCGCACGAGGCAGAAACAAATGGGCAAAGTTTCTTTCACCCTAAGTGCCCCTGTTACCTAGCAGTAAATAGGTACCTGGGAGTTAGTCAGCTGTCACGGGCTGCTTCCTGGGGTGTGTGTGTGTGGTGTGGGGGAAAAAAAAAAGTAGTTAGTAAACAGTTGATTGACAGTTGAGAGGCGGGCCGAAAGAGCAAAGCTCAACCCCCGAAAAAAAACACAACTAGTAAACACAACTAGTAAACACCATCACCATCACTCATGGTGAACGCCTCCCCGTGCCTGATATCCTCACCATCTTGCACCATCTTTTCCCTCCCACCCTCAGTGTTCTCTCACAACAAGTCCGCCAGTACTGCTACCAGCTAACAGACAATATCATTTATTGTTTATTTGGATAACATAATTTGTCTCCGTAAGAAATACAGTGAGGCAAGCCCCGCCGTGATGGGTATATATATTGTTCCTGTGTGATGTTCCCGCAGATTAAATGGCCATTAACCCGTCGCTGCTAACAGCAGGAGCAGTTCCTTCACCAGAGAACCAGTTTAAACACATCTTGGATAAGGGTGTGTGAAGCAGCTTTATATCCGGCAGGAGTTGTATCAGTGCGGCCTGGCTGTTGACGCCCCTTATAATGCCTTGTGTTGATAACTGAGAGTAATATAACACCTCTGCTCAGTTGCCTCGCCCCCACAGGTGATCACAGCTGCGGTAATCTTGGTGATATCAGGTGATCAACACACCTGGCTGCCTTCCAAGATGCCACAATCCGCACCATAAGTGTTGGCGTTGTTGTGGGGTGCCGACTTGGCAACGGGAGAGGCGGAGGCAGCTTCTTCTCCATTTCATATTAATGTAATACCAGCCTGGATATATATATATATAGATATAGATATATAATATATATATATATATATTATATATATATATATATATATATGCAGAATAACCCCATGTGAAAATAGAAAATGCTTAACGCGTTTTCGGCTAATTCGCCTTCATCAAGCAAAGTAGAATATTCAGAATATTATATTATGCAAAGTTGTTGCATATATTATATATATAGATATATACATATATATATATATATATATATATATATTATATATATAATATATATATATATATATATCGAGATAACCAATATGAAAATAGAACTGCTTAACGCGTTTTCGGCTAATTCGCCTTCATCAGAGCAAAGTAGAATCAAAATGTCATATTTTTTTATTGTCATATTAGACAAATGTCTATTTTTCATATGTGGTTATTCTGCATACTTGGATCATGTTTTTGTGATCATTGTTGCATATATATATATATATATATATAATATATATATATATATATAATATATATATATATATATATATAATATTATGCGAAAATCCACAGAGAGATGAGAAAGGGGTGACGTTTCGACCGATCAAATCCGTTGTGCACACCAGACTTGGGGTCTGAATTGACCACCTGTTTGCTGTTCTCTTTTGAATTCAGGCGACCAGCCTATGTTCATCCTGTACCGCAGACCATTCCCCCTGCCAGGTTTGGATGGTATCTTCCTAGAGCGTCTGGGCCTCCAACTTTGGGCAGACAGACATTCTCTCGTACCGGAATCTATACCTATAAGGTCACTGCTGCTCCATAATGGTTGGAGAGAATGAACGGAGCTTCAGTCAGACGAATCTTCAAATAGAGATATCACTTGCGAACACTTTACACTAAAGTATACACTCACTTAAAACTTAAGGCTTACTTTACCAGTCCTGTATTACGTGAGGAGAATTACAGAAAGCACAGTGGGTGATATCTTATCTTGAGGTTATCTTGAGATGATTTCGAGGCTTAGCGTCCCCGCGGCCCGGTCCTCGACCAGGCCTCCTCTTTGGTACACACAACCCCCCCCCAGGAAGCCGCCCTAAGCTGCTGTCTAATTCCCAGGTACCTATTTAGTGCTATGTGAACAGGTGCATGAGGGTGAAAGAAACATTCTGCCCATTTGGTCTCCGCCTCCACCGGGGATCGAACCCGGAACCTCAGGACTACGAATCCGAAACGCTGTCCACCCAGCTGTCAGGCGCATAGCATGAAGTTCTGAGTCATAACAGGTGCCCCAAAGGGAGGAGAGGATAGGTGAAGACTAGGTGAATGGTGGCGGCTAGGTGGGTCGGGGCTAGGTTGTAAGGATAACATAAATAATGGTTATCGGATTACTCGTGGTTAATGAGAGAATGGTTGTGGGTGGGGGGTGGGGGGGGGGGGCATTCACACCCTCTTAGAGAACAACGTCACACCATGTAGAAGATAACACTGAAAATCGTCCCTCCCCCCCCCCCCTTCCCCTCGCCTAAACAAAGATAGCGAGTTCATCCCCTGGACGTAAGTTCGAGCCCTCATCACGGCCCTTGTGGATTTCTTCATTTGATAGTGATTTGTCTTAATTTATATCGAGTCTGTGTCTGTCTGCCTCGCGCTCTCCCATTTCAAACTTGAAATGAGTCATTGGGTTTTCACAATAGGAGCCAATTCGATGGAAAGAATATATGGGGGGGGGCGACCCCGACCCCCCTGATGACACTCCCCATACAGTTGCAATTCATC